CATTTCCGCCTTTTGGCCGTACGTTCACTTTTAGTATGGTTTCCACACAATCCTTTATAAATGAGACCCCAGATATGTATTCCTTCATGGCCTTGTTTTCAGGTTTTGATAAAGAGTACATTTTTCCCCTAGGAGGAGTGGTACTAGGTAGTAGATCAATACAACAATCATATGGCCWATGTGGTGGTAAACAAGWAGCTTTCTCTTTATTAAATGCTTCCTCCAAATCATGATAACAAGCAGGAACATTTTGTAGATTGGGGATGAACTTGGCCTTATTACACGGTTCCTTCTCAAGATTGGCTGTGGAAAGACATTTGGATGAAAATTGTTCTGATCAACCCATAATCTCTTTGTTGATCCAGTTTTTGTGGGGGTTGTGTTTCTCCAACCAGGTGGCTCCAAGGACGATGGGAAGGTTGGGCGACGTAATTACCARAAAGGTACTTCCTCAGTGTGAATACCTCCAATGGTCATTTTCACGGGCAGAGTCTCGGAACTGGTGTGGTTGAGGTTGTGACCATCCAGTGCCTGAATCTTATGGTTTCTCTCAGAATGACGAATCTGTAGTCCCAGAGAAAGAGTAAACTTGTGATCGATAAACTCGGTATCAGCTCCAGAGTTAATGAACACTTTAACAGCGTGATTTTTACCTGACACATTTAAATCTGCTGACAATACAGGAAGGGGGTGGCTCACTTGGGCAGGACTAAGGACATAAGTCTTGGTTCTTTTAGTTGTTATAGGGCAATTAATGGCAATGTGACCAACACCAGCACAGTATAATCACAGACCTTCGTTCCTCCGACGAGTCCTTTCCTCCAAAGAAATCTTAGACCTGCCGATCTACATGGGTTCCACAGTAGTTTTTACCACTGGGGTGGTAACAGTCTGACTTCCTTTAACCTGTGTTCCTGGAAGTTAACAAATGAGTGCCAGTGAAACTTTTGCCTCGTCGATTTTGCCTTCCCTCATGCAGCCTTAAATCGATCCGTGTCGCCAGGTCCTCCAATTCCTGTAAGGACTGGGGTGGATCTCGAGTCGCCAGTTCATCTTTGATGTCCTCGTTCAATGTCTGCAAGAAAGCGTCCTGCAGAGCCTCATCATTCCACCAGCTGTCCACTGCTAGGGTATGAAAATCAATAAGAAACTCTGTGATCCTCTTGTTCCCTTGTTTGATTGTTAGCAGACCTCTGGACACTTCACAATGGCGGAGAACTGGACAAAAAACTCTGAGTAATTCTCTAGCAAAATCTTTGTATTTGTAACAAATAGGAGCGTCTCTCTACCACTCAGCAGTCCCCCATTACTTTGCTTTACCAGACAAAAGTGAGATTACATAAGCGACCTTGGAGCATTCAGAAGTGAATGATTAGGGTTGTAACCCGAATTGTATTTCACATTGAGTGAGGAAAGCCCGACCCTGATCGGAATCACCTTTGAATTTCTCGGGTGGGCACAAACGGGGCTCCATACATGGAGAAGGCTAAGATCTCGAAAGATTATGTGATACTGCTTGTCCTCCAGCAGTGGGAGACGTAACATTACAAGACAATGATAAGTTGCTTAAAGTTGAGTTAATGTTACTAATATTTATATCCAGATCATTTAAAGCTCCCTCAATGCTTGCCTTCCAGGCTGTGTTCGGTTCAGAGCTCATAGTGGCCAGATTATCTGTTATGGTAGGTATTTTGAGTTCTGAGTGAACACCGAACAACGCCAAAGTTTTAACAAGTTTATTGTTAGAAAATTTGGCTGGAAGGTTGGGACTGGAATCTGGGGTTGTCAGTTCTGGACACAGAATCTCAAGGTTAGGTTGTGTAGGGGGTTTTGGGTATGTTCTAAAATGGATAATTCGTGAATTATTTAAATACGCAAATTATCTTACCTCGAGGCACCACCCTCTTAATTTGGTCAAGGATTAACCTAGGAAAGAGACAAAAACCTGTAACTTTATTGTAATCAGTCTCACAATAAATGTACCCAAAATGGTTTGATGAGTCCTTGTCTTATCAGAACCAATAATATTTTTATCAAGACACAAAAGTGAGATTAGCTTATGTTGGCATGTTCTCCACGGGCCATTTATTTACAGATTAAATGTATTTACAACTATGGTGAGTAATGCATGATGACATGATTAAACCATGCAAAAACTGAAAGAGATTGCAATCACGAGTCAATAACAACAAACAAACAACAAATAAACGTAAAATAAAGACTGAGAGGAGAATTTGAGGCTTGGAGTGAGGTGAGGTGAGTTTTGCTTTTAGCTGAGGATTTAACTAAGGGGGTCCTAGTTAAATTAGGGAGAAAAATCGGTTAGTT